TAGCGAAGGCACAGCTACCCTCTCTGCTCTAGTCGGCTAAGCCAACTCTTCTGGCTCCCGTGGCTGCCGATGCACCCTTGGATGATTCGGCTCCCGTAGCATCTTCCGTTGCTATTGTAGGTGAAGAGGAGTCTCAGGAGGAGCCAGATGAGGATATGGTTGACTATGAACCATCCCTGGAACGCTTGGATGTCAATGTGGTCTATTTGTCATCCGATGGTGATTTTATTAAATTTGATGCAAGGATGGCTCAATTTAATTTTGCTACACAGAGCACCGTCTTTGAGAAACTAGAAGACTCTATGAATCATCTCAAGCCACTACATGTGAAGGGCTACATCAATTCTACACCGGTCCATAATATGTTGGTCGATAGTAGAGAAATTGTGAATGTGATGCCATATTTGCCTTCTAAGAAGCTTGGTGGCCCGAATGGGGAGCTGATTGGGACCAACATGACGATCAGCGGTGTTGGTGGAGGTGAGCCAATTCCAGCAAAGGGTGTGCATCGATGGAGCTTACCATCGGAAGCAAGACATTGGCTACCGCTTTCTTTGTTGCAGAGGTGCAAGGAATCTATAACTTGATTCTTGGGCGTGATTGGATTCATGTCAATCGATGTGTCCCTTCTAGCTTGTACCAGCTCCTTATTCAATGGGTGGATAACAAGATAGAGGTTGTCCACGCAGACTCATTGGCCCAAGTTGCCACAGCCGATGCTCCTTTGCTTGGGGGGCATGATTGTATTGCTTGTCTATCCAGACGTGATCTTGCTGATTTCCAATTTATTAGTGTCACCAAGTATGGTTTTGTACCCGTCTCTCTAAAGCCGATTGATAATTGGCTCAATATCATCATATAGTCAATAATGGATGACGTCGGCCAACGCATTGGAAAAGGTTGATTTTGGGATTGCTTCATGCTTAGGCCGACATGTGTGTGAATTAAGGTTTGAAGTTCATATATGCTAGAGACGCTAAAAAGTGATTGTCTCACTAGAGCAATTTGCGGAAGGTGTTTGACAAAAATACTTTCCAAGTGTTTGGTGCTGACCAAGCAATGGCCGATACATGTCCCTTAGAACAAATATGGCCGATGCATATATCGCCCTTAGCCGCTGAATAGCCAAATTGCTGGATATCATTGCTATTTGGTGTTTCTTGTGTTTTCAAGTTCATACTTCATTCATCTAAAAACAAGGGGGCATATGTTGACAACCAAAATTGTCCAAAGGGCATAATGGACTCTACCATCATGATTCTATCATCCAGACGTCCTAAAAGCATACTTAGATCATCGCATTTGGAGGCAGAGTCGACTTTACCAACTTTGTCAAATGCTAAAATGAAATGTACCATTGCGTTCCACTCGTCGAGTTGATTGAAAAATATATATGGGTCGTTTCATTTGGAGTCCGGATGAAATAGTTTTGAATTTCGGAAAATTTTTGCCCAGCCAGAGTCGGATAAGCCGACTCACCCAGTCGGCTAAGAGGACTCCTCAGCCCCAAGTCGGCTAAGCCGACTCCCCTGTTTTTCAGCCTAGCTAGTGCTCCGGGCCTGTAAAAACCGGCTTAGCCGACTCGTCGACTTTTCCTGCTGTTCCGAGTCGGTTTGGTTTTCAAATCAGTTTTGGACCTATTTTGGACGTAGGAAACTTGGAGATCACGTTTGGGACTTGTTTCCTACTAGGATAAGACCACCCCCTCTATATATAAGAGAGGATCATGCCAGATTGAAGGATCCAACACTCAATCGTCGTTTTACATCTATTAACCCAATTTTATCCTTTTCTAACCCCTTGCTGTTCGTTGCATCTCTCCGCGAGATTCATTGGTGTTCTAGGTAGCCTTGATGATCCTAGAACAACCCTTGGTGTGCTCCTCCTTGACGAGTCCTCCTGGGAGGCGTTCCCAGGCTTTGGCGGCTAAGGACGGGCTCTAGATCGGCCTACTTGGTCTTCATATCGGTTTAGTCGATCCCAAGAGTTGCTTGCTGCGTGTATCTGGTTGTTTGCAATCTAGGATGTGCTAGGCCTTGCTGGTGTGTGATTTGGATCGTAGTCCAATGTCAACACACGTTTTTGGGCTCTAGATCGGTCTAAACGGTCTTTAGATTGGTTTAATTGATGCCAAGAGTTGCTTGCTGTGTGTATCAGGTTGATTGCAATCCAACGTCAACAGTATACATGTTATATTTCAGCGGGAGTGGTCTCTTGCCTGCATATCGTAGTCCCAGATACCAATGTTTTGTCGGTAGGATCTATCGTGATGATGTGTCATAATCCTGTATCACATAACCAAGTAGAAAGTTATCACATACTCCCTCTGTTCTTTTTCTTACATGTCATACTAGCTTTGTCCGAAATCAAAATTTACTATCTTTAACTATCCACATTTAAAAATAATCTTTATAGTTTCACCACATAGAAATTATATATTATGAAAGTAATTCTCAAAGTGAATCTAAAAACATAAATCTTATGTGATGAATCTATATAAATTTTTTGAAATCGGTCAAAGAAAAAATGTTTGACTTATGATGACAAACCTAATACATAGTTCATTCAAACTATATTCATACCTTGCAACAGATTTCCATGTAAAGAAGTATTTTTAACTCTAACACTGAACTATATATTCAACAGTTGCAAGCTAAGCAACAAATATAACAAACTCTAAAAAATTATGTACAATTACAGATGAAAGATCTACAAGCAAATATATGCAACACAGATCAGTCCATAGATGATATCCTACAAGAAGTAGAACAAATACCATGCATGTATATAGTTACAGCAATCAAATGTGTCACGGTATATAGCATAACATAATCATACTAGTGCATCCAACCTAATTGACTACTTATAGTATGCTCTCCCAGTACCTATGATATGCTCTCCTAATATGATATGAGTTCACACATGAAGTTTGTAGATATTTTCTCTCTCCTCATTAACTTTTACCCACGTAAGAAACAGGCTAATAAAATGGATCACCTTGTACATAGCTGCATATACCTTTAATTTGTAGACTGCATAGACAGTAAATAAATAGAGTAAAATGCAACATAGGTCCATTAACTTTTGAAGAGCTAGATACATCAACTCTTAAAGTACATTTTTTGGTTTCTAAATCTTTTATGCTGTGCACCGGAGATCCAAACCAATTCAGGAGCTTGAGAATTTTTCAATGAGCCCCTTCCTTTGGATACTTCTTTCTCAAAAACATCCCCACGGATGGGTGGCAACACCGGCAGCCACGCCGTCGCCCATCACTTTCTTACTTATTACATTTTTGGCCAGCTCGCTTGCCTGCCCAACAATGACATGGCTGCCGGCACGGCAACCCGTCCATGTAACCATATTGTCTATAGGGGCCTTTTTGATGGAGAGGTATCAAAAAGAAGGGGCTCAAAAATATCAAGCTCCTAAATTAGTATGAATCTCTAGTGCACAACATAAAAAGTTTAGCGACCAAAAAGTACACTTCAAGAGTTAATGGACCCATATAACAACATCACTCCAAAATTAATGGAGCTATGGTGCATTTCATTACTCAAATAAATATGTGAAAATACAGTAGAAACTCAATTAATGTCTCCCGATAGAACTCGCCATGGTTCTGTTGGATGCACATCAATGAAAGGTGCGTAGATATAGTCCGGTTCCACCTGGCGTTCTATGATCTGATCCAAAAACCAATATATTCTTGAAAATCACCAAAATATATATGACACATATAACACAAACAATGATATCTAATGAAAAAAAACGCACCATGATTCTAGGCTTGACGGGATGGTCACCACTAGAAATTAGTGGGAGCTGATTCACTTTTAGTTTATGCTCTAAAGCCCACTGTCAATACATACAGTTAAAAAATATGAATGAGCATGTATATATTCAGAGATAAAATAGTGCTAAGGACTTCGTCTTCGTCAAGGAATATATGTTCACACAAACTTGTGCAGAGGTTCACAATGGCCGATAAAGAGACTATTATAGAAATGTCACCCGATAAATACTGAAAAATAGGGTTTCAGATTTTTGAACATCATAAGTTCACCAGAGGATACGAACAAGCCATGAGAAATTATCCAACAAATGTTTCTTTCCCGCGAGGCATCAAGAGAGTGATAATTACTGATTTTCCAATAAAAGATACCTTTCACCTGGTCCAGTACACAACAACACTATTTTGGAAACAAAGGACTGGTTTTTAATCATTCTATCCTAGATAGACAACCCACTACCCAGGACTTTTTCTAGATAACCATTTACCATTTCTAGTACAAGTAAATACACGTGTACATGCCAAAAATAAGTGGAAGATTTGAAAATTACTTGATGGAGCATGATAATTTTATGGACATTAACTGTACAATAAATGGACAGTACACACCAATCAAACGGACAAAGCAAAGAATGATAGTGGCCAGGAGCCTCGTACGGTATTAATGTGCCAGAGAGGTCGTCGTCCTAATCTGGCAGATATTATCTCTACCCCACAAAGGAATGGAATTTTAGAACTCTAGTTGCCAAATTTGGGCACATACTCCAAATGTCTTAGTATAAAATTAGAACCTTCCAAATAATGTAAATCTAAAAACTGGTCCCTTCATCTCAAAACACTTTATGTTTTAGGATTTTTAGCACACATCAGTGCTCAATGGAAATTACCATGTACCCTTTAATGATAGTGATAAACGCTAATCAAGGAATAACCCGCCAGTTAATATATGCGAATGCATGGAGACATGCATCTTGCATTCTCACGCTCAAATAAACTTAACCTAGTCATCAAGAGATAGGAATAACCCGCTAGTTAATACGAATGATGGAGACATGCATCTTGCAATCTCACACTCAAATAAACTTAACCTAGTCATATCAAGAGATAAAACATCAAGGGCTCATTTGGAATGCAGGAATTCATACAAACAATGGAGCAGTTTTCGAGGAATCAGTTTAATTTCAGACATGAACAAGTACCAGGAAAATTAATCCTGCATTCCAAACAGGCTCCAAGTTTTCTCGGGCAATTTAGCTATAGAATCCTAAAACATCAAAAAAAATTCAGCCGAGCGAATAATTTGCACTCTAATATATTATAATAAGTAGTGAGATTATCATATTATTTTCACCTACCATTTCAGAGACAAGTAATTTTAGAAAATACATAGATTGCTAACATTTTAAATGTGTAATACCAAATGTACTCCCTCGTACGTAAATATAAGGGATCCTAGCATTTGAAATTTATGCACAAATATAATGAGTTTATGGTAGATTAAGAGACCACACACTAATCATGATTGACATGAACTGTATCCAATTTTTTGTTACATTTACAGTTTGCTACCATATAACGGCTGCGTAAGCCTAGCAGGCGTCCTTACATCCACCAGTCAATTGGGTTAAACATTCATTAATTATGGGCATGTGTGAGTTTTTCCTATCCTTTAATTTGTGCTTAAAATTGTAAGATCCCTTAGGCTAGTCTCAATGGAGGTTTCAAAGTAGTTTTATTCTCATTTAATACAGTGACACATCAACTAATTTGCTGACTTGGTAGCTTATTTATAAAGAGAGAGATACAGAGAGTTTGGTAGAGTTTCATCTAGATGAAACTTGCTGTCATAATTACCAACACAAAAGCTAATGAGACTGGCCTTACACTAATCTTAGTGGGGGTTTCATCAGAGTTTTATTTGCATTTAATAACCTGCCACATAAGCACTTTTGATGATTTGTCAATATTTTTAAGAGGAAGAATAAGTGAATTTTATGAGGATTAAACTCTCTTGGCATGATTATCAACTCTCTATGAGTCATGAAATTAAATTCTTTGAAACCATAGAATAAAACTTTCCATTGAGAGTGGACGTTTCATCCATGTTTCATTTCATTCTATATGACATGCTAATCTTGGAAACAACGTCATGAAACTCCTCACTGAGACTGGCCTTATATTTATTGATATTCCCTTGTTCCCAGAAAACTGGATGTTTTAGGATTTTTATTAGCACAAATTAGTGCTCAATAAAAATTACCTAGGTTAAGGAATAAGCTAGTCTCTTATTAAAAAGAATGCCTCGAGGTATGTGGATCGCAATCTCAGGCAACATAAGCCCAATCTATTGTCCAACAGCTAAGACATCAAGTCTTTTTTTATAGTTTTTTAGTCCTATAGAATATAAATTTTTTTGGGATGGAGTATATATGATGCAACGAAAGGGTGGTGTATATAACTTTCCTGACTCTATAGATGTTTGTACCATACCTCTTTTCAGGTTTTCACTTATGTACTTAATATATTTTTCAATGAATAGTCAAAATATGTTAACTCACAAAATATATTTTTCAATGTAAAAATAAAAACTTAGACTCTACTTGGTAGGGCTTGTATTGGGGCCTATCTACCAGCTTAGTCAAAAGACTTGTCAAACGTGTACATACAAAAACAGCTTCCGAAGCAAAAAAAACCAAACCAAAAACAGTGAAGGTGAAACCACTTTTGCCCAAAAGACGAACCACAAAAACATGTCTTTTTCTGGCTTCATTATTTTGAGAAACCCAAGGCTTTTCAAAGATTACCTAATGTGTTGTATCCAAACATACAAATAACTCATTAAATTTTTTAATGTACAAATGTGATTATAGTTTTTAGAAAGCAATTTCCTTGCATGAATATACTCATATTCATACATATACATATCCGTAATTTTTTGCAGAAATGTCCAAATGCCACAAAATGAAAACTTCAGTGTAGTGTATAGCACCCCGTGGTTTAATAAGTACTTCATGTGTTTTTTATCAATGAAACTCACCGCCGCTTGTACGTAAACTGGGGCCAAGTTAATCTGATGCACCTCACGGCCACGCTCTTTCGCTTTTGTAAAGAATTTGTCGGGGGCATTATCAACTCCGTATCTTGGGAAGTTATGTAGGCCCTGAATGCTTGCCATGGTGCTCTCGAGCGTGAAAAACGCGTTGCCGTCCAGTCGTGGCTTCTGCTGGTTGCGCATTGTGACAGCAAGCGTGTACCTACACCTTGGAGGCACAGTGCCTGGCAGAGGCCAAACAAAGTGCTCCGCTAGAGTCTCTGTCGCGAGCCTGAAGGCGACATGTGCATATGTGTTATTGTTTAGGTGCAGCGAGCAGGTGCTCTGGTGCCACGTGTTTCTTATTTTGCTTGGCCGATCCAAGGAGAATTCCGTGGGTGACTGCACACTGAGGAGCTCGCTAGCCTGCAGTAGATAAAGATGGACGATGTGTCAAAACGGACACTAAAAAATTCACAACATTGGAAGTTACAAAAGCTTTTTTTTTGTTCGAATATGACTTGGTTGTACAGTAAAAAACTGTGAAAATGGTAGTGATGAACTTGGAACCAGGAGGGGGCGTATTTGGTTCAAATATTTGACATGCATTTGCAAAAGAAGAAAAAGAATGGAATGTTGTCACGATCAACTTGGAAGCAGGTCAGGATTTTATTCCCACCCAAAAACAACTTAAAATAATCATCCATTTTAAACTGGTGTACAAAAGTTTCTAGTCAACTAGCTTGCAAAACAACTTACAGCCTTCTATGATGTACCCTTCGAATATAAAAATCGATGTGTTCCACCAATTTATTTAGCCACAAGTATGAACCAATTGCACCAAAAACCATGAACGAAAGAAATATGGGCAACTCACTTATACACGTGACAATTAAAATCCACAGCTGTAACAGCCTAAAATTTGCAACATTTTGAAAATAGGTGAATTGGATTTATTTATGCAAGTGTGTGCATGCCACATAGAAAAATAATAAATTTTACCAAATTAAAATCAAATATAAGGTTTACTTACGTGTTTATACATTTATGCTGCTGCATATTATTTTTGTATTGTGTGATTTGAAATTAAATTTCAAATTGATTTGAATTTGTATTCAAAATTTGGTTTGGAAAATTAGAAAAGAAAAAGAAAAAGAAAAATCTCTCCCCTTCTCTATATCGGCCTGCTGGCCCAAGGCGTGGCCCGCCTTCACCTCTCCCTCACTCCCCCGCATGGGCCTGCTGCTCCCGGTCCAGTGCACTTCCCCTTCCTCTTTTCTCACTCATGTGTCGGCCCAGCTTCACCAGTGGCCCGCTCGGCAGCGCGCCCGCGCCCTTCCTCTCTGGCTGACCGCCTGGTCTCTCTCACTTGGACACCGACAGGTGGGCCAGCCCTATCAAACCTGTCATCCACCTCTGGTCATATCCTACCCGGATACTAAGCCAGTGTTCGTGTCCGCCCCGTCCACGCTCGCTCGGTGGCGTATGCCCTACGCTATGCCGGCCTTAAATAGCGAGTCTCCACACCCGTGCCACCCTCACCTAGTGCTAATCCAGCTGTAGCGTCGCCCTATGCTCTAGCGCCGCCATCTGGATCTCGTCGTGAAGGAGTTCGACGTCGCCGTGTTGCCTAACTGCTCCGCCATCACCGTAAGTACCACTCCGAGCTTTGCATTGAGTTCGCGAACCCGTTGAGCCCCTTATTACTCTTTTTCTCGCTCTGGTTTGCCTACATCGCGTCGCCGTCGTGAGTGATGAGGGGCTCTTACCGGACATGTCCGTGCGGGGTTTGGGTCCGACGTTCACGACAGGGCCGGTGTAACCTACACGAGCATCACAATTTTTCGTTTCTAGCTCTCGGCAGTGATCCGAGCCGTTCGATCGACTTGGGTGACCTGACAGCTTCTCCTTGGAGGAGATCCCACATGTAGACCCCTCCATACCCTTCCCGAGAAGGTGGAGGTTAAGGTTTGGAGTGCGGAGGCAAAGACAAAGATCGGACTAGTGGAAAAAACGCCATAGCCACTAGGGTGTGGGGTTCTAGCCGTCCAACCAAGTTTACTCAAAGTTTGCGCCCGCACCCCGTGCCTCTAGTTTTTAAACGTAAGGAGGGGTCGGGCAAAGAGAATGTCTAAACGAGTAGACATTCTCGGTAGCCCCCGAGCGATGCTCACGCCCCTGCCGTTGCTAGGGTCAGAGGCTCAGTAGTGAAATTGATACGTAAAGTAAGGAAATAAGGGTGCTTATCTTTCGGCGGCCGTTTGGTTTCTCAACCTCGTCGCTCGGCGTTCGCCTAGGCTGTCCGATCGACTCAAGAGGCCCGTTGGTCCCCCCTTGACGGAGGTTCCATCATTGGGCCGTTCCAGGTCCTGCCTGGGAAGGCGGAGAGCCGTCTACATGCGGCTGCGCCTTGTTTCCCATGCCCGGCGTGCGGTAGTGGTGGGCCATGCCCAGGCCACGTCCTATTTGACCAGGAGCGCATCCTGTCGGTCAAGACGTGTCCTCTCGAATTCCCCTCTGCATCGAATTCCCACCTTCATTGAATAGGAGAAGGGAGAGGGTTTTTTGCCCCAACCCTTCGCCTTTCTCCAACTGTTGTGTCTTCTCCTTAAATAGGGGAAGGGAGAGGGTTCTCATCCCATCCCTCCGCCTATTCTTGAGCTGCAGCCTCTCCTCCTTCTTTCTCCTCACCGAGTGCGTTCGTGCATCGCGGTGATTCCTAAGTGAGAGAGGGTAATGCGAGGGTGGGGAGAACTTATAGATCCGTTCGTGAATCCGGAGCGTGATGTCGAGCTAGAGGTCATCCAATGTAGATGAGGTGGTGCTGGCCGCCTTCGCCGTGAAGGGGCCGCTTCCGTCGAAGGAGGAGGAGCACTGGAGGGTGCTGCATGTCGCCAGCTTTGTCGCCGTCTGTGAGGTCATCGTCGGGATGGAGCCGTACAGAGACTTCTTCTGGTGAATCTTCTTCGGGCGAGCCTTGTCGGTGGGGAAGCCGCTCGGAACTGCGCCGATGGGGGGTTTCGCCCTTATAGCTGCTCAGGTCGGCCAGTTCATGAAGTTTGATGAGATGTCAGAGACATCCATCAGCCATGGCGGCCATACTTCGGCGGGCAGCGGTCGTCCAGGTGCCGTTGTCAGGGTTGCGGCTGATCACGATGGCGTAGTCCCTAGGCACCCTGGCGAAGACACCATGGTCACCGATGTGGTGCTCGACGTTGCAGACGATGGCACCCTCAGGGATCCCGCGGAGCGGTAGGACGTTGCCGATGGAGAGCGTGGCGCGGTGGCCGTAGTAGTATTTAGAGTAGAAGCGGTTAGTAAATGTAACCATTTAAGTTGTGGGGGAGCCCCCGTGTGAACTTTTTTTTGTATTCATGAATACATCAATCCCTTTTGTGATGAAATCACTTTGTAAGCGATGAATTTGTGCAAAAATGAACAAGTTCTCAAATTTCGTTACAGCAAAAAGCTTTTCAGCTCTTCTCCCTCTTTTTGTAAAAGAGGTCCAGTGCCTTCCGACCCTTCCCATAGTTAAGGTCGCAAAAAACTCGGAGTACGGGCGAGCCGATTCTGATCACGCTAGTGAGCAAGGAGACCATAGCCGCTGGGGCGTGGGTTTCCCGTAGTCCTATCAGTTATACTCAGAGCTTGTTCCCGAAATCCTAGCCCTTAGGACTTTACCATGAGAAAAGAGGGAAAGCACAGAGAATGTTTGTAAGATAAACGCACTCATACCAGCCCCCGAGCGAGGTCCGACCCCTCGCACTTGCAGGGGTTCGATGTCACAAAAGATCGGGGATTGCAATGACAAAACTGATAAGAGAAAGTATGCATTTATTTAGGGATAAAAACGACGTAGCTGCTCGATGTTCCAGGTGTTGGTGAAGACCTCGTCGTCGATGGTTTTTAGTTTGTAGGCGCCAGGACAGAGTACTTCCGCGACGATGTACGACCCCTCCCAGGGTGGGGAGAGCTTGTGGCGGTCCTTGTCGCTCTACATGAGGTGGAGGACCAGGTCCCTGACGTTGAAGGCTCGGCCCCACACTCGTCGATCGTGGTACCGTCGCAACGCCTGTTGGTACCTGGCCGAACGGAGGAGGGCGATGTCGCGCGCCTCGTCCAGCTGGTCCATGGCGTCCTTGTGGGATGCCTCGGCTCCCTATTCGTCGTACGCCCTGATCCTTCGTGGTCCATAGTCAAGGTCGGTTGGGAGGATGGCCTCGGAACCGTAGACCATGAAGAAGGGCGTGTAGCCGGTGGCTCGACTGGGGGTCGTTCTCAGGCTCCAGAGTACTGAAGGAAGCTCGGTGACCCAGCGCGCGCCGAGCTTGTTCAATCGGTTGAAGATCTTGGGTTTGAGGCCCTGTAGGAGCATGTCGTTTGTGCGCTCGACCTGCATGTTCGTTCGGGGGTGTGCGACGGTGGCCCAATCGACTCGGATGTGGTATTCATCGCATAATCGAAGGAACTTCTTTCCGGTGAACTGCGTACCATTGTCCATGATGATGGAGTTTGGGACTCCGAAGCGATGGACAATGTCGAGGAAGAATAGTACGGCTTGCTCGGACTTGATCGCGGAGATCAGCCGAGCTTCTATCCATTTTGTGAACTTGTCTATGGTGACAAGCAAGTGGGTGTAGCCCCCGGGCGCCTTTTTGAGTGGCCCAACCAGATCGAGCCCCCAGACCACGAAGGGCCACGTGATGGGGATCATCTGGAGTGCCTGGGCCGGGAGGTGAGTTTGCCGAGCGTAGTATTGACACCCTTCACAGGTGCGCACGATCTGCTCGGCGTCAGCTACTGCAGTGGGCCAATAGAAGCCCTGTCGGAATGTGTTTCCATCCAAGGTTCTAGGCGCAGCGTGGTGACCGCAGATCCCACCGTGGATGTCGCTCAGCAAGCGCTTCCCCTGCTCAATGGGGATGCAGCGCTGTAGGATCCCGGCGTGCCTTCGTTTGTAGAGTTCACCCTCCACAAGAACAAAGGACTTGGCGCGGCGTGCGAGCCGTCGAGCCTCTGCCTTGTCTGCCGGCAATGCGTCATGGAGTAGGTAGTTGAGGTAGAGTGTTCTCCAGTCGACTACAGGGTCGGGCTCTATCGCTGGATCTTCTTCAAGCTCCATGACCTCGGGGCCGAACGAAGCCGTTGGTTGGTTAGCCCCTGAGGCTGGATCGGGCGGACCGTCATTGGCCTATTCTGACCCTTCGTAGCATACCGAGGGCTTGTGTTGGTCGCTAGCGAAGACACCTGTTGGCACTGGCTCTCAGCCGGATGCCGCCTTCGCAAGCGCAT